TATTTAATGTGATAAATAGAAAGCTGCACTTTTCTCCCTTTTTTAAATATTAAAAATATGGTAAAAGTTAAATTTTTGGTTAACAAACAAAATTGTGGATGGAAACTGTTCAAATGGGCTTCATCTACTGCGTTTGAAAATATTAGGGGTGACGACCGTAACAAACCAAAGATTTGAAAAAACCTACTAGTATTTTAAAGGTTTGGAGCTTTTGCTACAATTATCCCTAAATTTAACTTAAAGTTTTCAAATCGCCCTTGAGCCAACTCTACAAAACGCAACTCACATCAAACTGGAATATATTTTGACACAAGAAGTAAAGTTAGCAAGTATGAAAAAACAAGATTAGAAGAGAATTTATACATTATATGTATTATAATACTCCACAAGTTGTTAAACGTACACTAAAAAATTCTTGAATGCTCTAAGGGCCCGTTTGATTGCAATAATGAAATTTGGGAGGAAAGAAAATGAATTACAGGGAATTGAATTATCTAAAACTTGTTTTAATGGAAATTATTAATTAAATGTATTTGATTGGTATAGTTTACTACCTGAAAAATGTTGAAATTTTGGATCTTTTGATGTTATTTTTCATGAAAATTGTCAATTAAAAAGATAAAAAATTTTACAATTGTAGATATAATTTTGTCCCATTGCTGAAAATTAAAAAAAAAAATTGGAAAACTCATTTCCCACCAAACAGGTCACGTGTTGTGAGGAGGGGAATTGATTCCATGGAAAAATTTTACAATCAAACACATCAAAAGGTTCTATGGAAAATTTTCCATATCAAACACAGCCTAAGAGGAGTTTATTTAATTGAGACTTTTGTAGACTTTTTGGAATTTAAAAAGTTTATGTGTATTCAATACAACTCTTTGCTACTCTTATGTTTGTTTTCTTGAGCAAATCTGTCATATATTTTGATTTGATACATACCTGAATTGTTTCTGAATACCTCAATGCCTAAGAAATAATTCATAGGCCCCAAATTTTTAGTGCAAATTTCCCATTCAAATCATGCACTACTTGTCCGAGGCCATCATCACATCCAACAAAAATGTGTAGAATGAAAAGTGCTCTCGAAAATTTGACACCAGAGCAAAAAGTTACATGCGTTTTTGTAGATTTTTCTTATTTCTTCTATTTTTTTAATTGGTCTATGATTTTCTTTCTAATTGCGCATAACTATAAAAAGCTTTGTTTAATGGGACAATTGCAGCAGCGATTCCAAGCCTTTTCAATTTTTACTATTTTATCCTAACCTTCATTTTTTACTAGCGAATATCCCTAACTTTTTATAAATATGCAATTGGAGTCCAATCTATGTCACACCCCCAAATTAATATTGATATCTATACAAATTTTACATATATATTTTTTTTCAAGTTTGTTAACTTCTAATCATCTGTAACACGATCATATAATATATCGAAACTCAAAATCATATCGCCATAATCTAATATATATATTCAGAGCTTATAAACATGTCTACAGACCATTTCAAAAGTATACTATATAGGATTCCAAAATATAACCCTACAAATGGCAGGCTACAAAATAACCCTACAGGTCGTCATCCATGTACATCGAACTCTGGAATCCTATATGAGCTCCACAGCTAGCCATTCTATCCATGTAGTTCTATATTCACCTACAATGCAAGAACTACATAAGTCAATGCTTAGTAAGCAAAATCATGCATGTCCTGAACATGAGTAATAACGACATATGACACCATGCCATTTACTTTAAATATCACGATAAAAAGTATCATATTTCAATATTCATTAAAGTCGACTAGAAATCATTTCACTTGAAATCTTTCATTTCATTGGGCCCTTGACCCACCTACTATGCATCGGATAGAGCACTGCATAATATCAATATCAATAATCAATTGGCCAGTATGAAATCGACACCGACAAGTGGACCATCCTCTCGTGACCACTAGGGGCCCATCCCCTGACTACCCCTATGATCACCCAAGAAGTCTCCCACCCGACAACGCCTATAATCATAATATCGCAAGGGCACAGTCGAGTGGTCCGCCCTCCCATGATCACCAAAGGCCCATCCCCTATCTACCTTTACAATCACCCAGGAAGTAACACCCGCAATGCCAAACATATCACATAAGCATGCCTCACATGCCTCGGTGCGCTAGTAGTGGTCAATAAAACATTTATAATGAAACTCACTTTGAAATCATATTTTGCATGTAGGATTTTCAACCATGTTACATGTCGTGCATGCATATGAAAATACTCATAAATGACGTATTTAATAAAAATCGGTGTCAATAGGTTATGCAACCTCATACTCAATGATCGTAACCACCGTATGATGTGCTATAAGCCTCTTATCAAAGTTATGTAGATATTTCAACATTACTATGTCACATATACTAGGTTCTTGCATTGTAGTTGCAAATGGATTTTCACTTACCTTTCGTCTTTATGTGTGTAAGCTCCTATGGAGTGTGTATCAATTCCCTTTTTCGCTCAACGTCGAAAAGTCGCCTGTATTATCATTTAATATTAAACACAATCCTCCATTTAATAATCTTAATACACACAATCCCAAAATACGTTCATTCACGCCAAAACAATTTAGACAAAATCATTATTTCAAGTTGCCGATGACATTACAAATTAATCCCATAAGTCTCGCTATCTCTCGAGTCCAATTATGAACGTCAACGTCATCCAATTGTTTTCGACAACCTAGTATTTCTTAGGATATATTTTCTAGGCCCAAGAGTTCATTAGGGGACATCTAAATGTTGAAATCACATTAAATACCTAAATGGACAGAATCTGTTTTCTAGGTTTCCATCACCGTCCACTCATTTTTCAAACTCTTTTTCATGTCCTTACCTACATTTAACGGCTCCCAAACTTTTACCACACACCTATAACATATATGTGAAGATAATAAGATCATAAAGTTGTGACAAATGAAGTGTTTGGAGCTTCAAAAACAGTCCATTTTCCACTACACCAAATCAGGCAATTTTTCCCTTTGACTGTTTTCGGTTTCCATTTTATTATTATGATACCAACAGAATTCTAGGCCATTAAAATCATTTCTACACTCCCTACTTACATATAAAAACGTTCATATTGTTATATATCTAAGTTAAATACTAAGTATCATCCCAAAATCAAGGTATAAATCACTCAATCCAGCAATTCCTCATCTCTGTCTAGATTACTTTCTTTCAAATTCTTGCAATTAATTACCTCTATTTAGGCATCATAACATCATTAACAATACTCCAACTTAATCACAAACAAGTTCAGATGTTCAAGAAATCATAAACCCCTTAAGAAATAATAGAAACAAACCTCAAAACTATGGAGTAACAAAACTGCTCAGAAATTCCAGCTTCTTGTTTCTATTTCTCTTTGACTGTTTCACCTTCTTTTCACTTGGAATCACTTAGGGACGAGTTAAGGGAGTTAATATATTATCTAGGAGGTAAATGAGTGGTCTTTAAATGGTTGAAGTCGTGCATATTACTTAAGGATTAAGAATATCATGGGCTGCAGCCACCTCAAGCAATCAAGGTGAGTCACTAAGCAGGAGCTGTCATCTTGGCTGCAATACTTGACTTTTCTACCATTATTTTTGTGTCCATTTATGATATTTCAGATATATATATTCATCCTATATTAAGTCCTTGGGGATTAGACACGAAATTTATACCTTAAGGTTGAAGCAATTATATATTAAAGTGAAAAGTCCCCTAGCATGAGCTGTCCAAGTAGGAGGTAGCTTCTTGCAGCCAACTTTAACTTCTCCCTTGCACCACATGGAGCCATATGTGACTTAGAAGAGTTATAAATATCTTGTGTAAAGTTCTTAGGACTTATAGGATGTGTTGGAGGCTTAAGGTTGAAGGAATTAGAGGTTAAAGTGACAAGTCGTCACATGTTAAGTAGGTGTTGTCTCATTTCATTAAATTCTGATTTTACATATATCCTTGCAGGTACAAATCAAGTGTCATTGGTTTATTTTGATGTGCTTACAATCTATTTCACTTGCATTAAGATCCCAAAGTATTTTATAGATCTTATTCCTCAACTGTTCATTTAATTTCTTACCCAATTCTCAACCGATTTTAACAATTCGCACCTCAATATTTATAATGTCATATAAGACATATATTATTACGTTGTGATAATGTCACTTCATCCCTCATGTCCCAAATATGTGAATTACCTATCTAGGGTTTAAGGTGACCTCGATTAGCCGAATGGAAAGTTTGAACCTTCATTGATACAAATTTTCGGCCTTTCAAATATTACATTACCTACCAAGCCAATCTCCAACATTTAGTTAATCTAACTTTCTATCATAACTCAATATAAAATTCACCACCTAGATCGAAGAGTCGAAGGTTATCACCATGTAAAGATTTTAAAGCTTTGATGATCAAATACATCGTTTTAAGAGAAGGCAATCAGAAAATTGATACAAATGACAATGTAATTAGCATGGAATGCATGAATTATATTGGCCAAATGTAGAACGTGAAGTTCGGGGTATTACAATCTATCCATTTGACTGTCAGTTGACCAAAAAGTCAAAATTTGACCAGTTTGGATCAAATTAAAAAGGGTATAATAGTACTGTGCATTTTCCTCATATTAAATAAGTTAACAATTTAAAAATTAAATCAAAAACCCTAAAAAATAAAAATAAGCCCTTGTTTGAGCCCTTTTTTTGGGAAGAATAAATTTTTGAATAGTGTATTAATGGAAAATGTGTTGTTAAAAAATAAGGAAAAATCTTGAATTTGTGTGTAATGTTATTTTATTGAAGAATGTGTGGTTGAAATAATATCAAAATACTGTTGAAAAATATATTTTTCCAAAAGAATGAAGTTCAAACGAGGGCTAAATATATAAAAACTCCCCTCTACCCCATCCCACTCCCCCTAATCAAATTTTGATGAGGTCTTCTTCTCCGACGAGACCTATCAGAAACTGATGCCACCGCCACCTTCTCCCTATCAAATCAGCATTCCACCCACTCAATCAGCTTCTCCTCTAGTGCATCAGTATTCAGTTCCACTACCAACTCCAGTTTGCAAAGATCCATCTTCCCTACTCGTTCAATCGCTCAAATCAACAATTCCTCTGCCCTCGGTGAAAAGACCTTATCCTATTCTTGCACCTCCTCCACCTCTAACATTTGAAAGCCATATAAGCCTTCTCATTCCTACATTACCACTTTTTCCTCCTCCCTATCCCCAGGTACCTCATCCGTATCCTACTCTTGTGCCTCCTCCAACATTTAAAAGCCCCATAAGCCCTCTCATTCCTGCACCACCACTTTCTCCTCCTCCCTGCCCTTGGGCATCTCCTCCAGCACCACCTATTCCCTCCTCTAAGAAGCCAAATACTCATCCAAGTCCAACTATAAAAACACCCCTTTCACCTCCAGCACCAAAACTTTAACAACCTTTTAACACACCACCAGTTCCCAAATTTGAAAATGTACCACCACATTCTAAACCAACTTATCGACAAAATTCTCCTAGTATAGCTCCTATTTCTCCAAAGCCAGAGCCACTTCCTTCTCTTATTGAAAAAGCATTGTCGCCTTCTCTCTATCTACCAGAGTTGGCTTCTCACTCTATTTCTACAACTATATTGATTTGATAGAGAGAAGGTAGCGGTGGCGACGATTTTTGATAGGCTCGTCGGAGAAGGCTTCATTTAGATTAGACTTGGGGAGTGGGATGGGGGTGGAGTGGGGTTATATATTTATTTTTATTTTTTGGGATTTTAATTTAATTTTTTAACTTATTTAATATAAGGAAAATGCAAAGTACTATTATACTATTTTTTATTTGGTCCAAATTGGTCAAATTTTGACTTTTTTGGTTAACTAACGATCAATCCATTCCATCCATTTGGATTCTAACTACATATTTATGAAGGTTAGTAACCTTCGTAAGCAAAAATTAAATATTAGGGTAAGTTCTGAAAAATTGAAAAGATTTGGGACTGTTACTGTAATTTTCCCTTGTTTAATGTACACACATGGAACAAATTACTTGTTAATAATGCGGTGTTTATAACGATGTCTACCTCCCTCACATGGAAAGGAACCCAATTTTGATAAATTATAATTTATTTGAAGTGGATCTCCCTCCACGTGAGGGGTAAACATCCTGATTTACATGTAGCATAACCCTACACACATAATGAGGTATATCTTTATCTTCGAAGCCTCGTGGTCGTGACATAACAGCATCCTCATTAAGAAAAGTATCGTTGCTACATGTTGTATAGTCCAACTCTTTTGTCGCGGTCAAAGTAAGAATCACTCTGATAATAGAATGCTTAATAACTGGATTACATTTTTCAAAATAATCCAATCTTGTGGTTTGTTGAAACCCTTGGCCATCCAATGAGCTTTTATTTAAATTGTCCATTTGAATTATACTCGAGTAGAAATACCCATTTATTGTCAACAATGTGCATATTCTAATGTTAAACCAGAGACAGGGTTTTATTCTGAAGAAATACCGAGTATTCAAAAACCATAACATCCTTCCAGTTATGGTCAAGTGTAGCTTTTTATACTAATTTTGGTCAAATAAAAGTTCAAAATTCGCATTATGTGAGTCCTAAAAGTTTTGGCTTATGTATTCCACATCTTGTATGCATAGCCCCTGGTTTGGGTCCCATTAATTTTCATTCCATCACATTTTATTTTTCTCTCTCTTATTTTCAATCACACAATCTTTCATAAAATAATATTACATGTGAATCGAAAACTTTTTCTTTTTTTTCAACCACTTATTAAAAAAAAAATCTACTCCACCCATTTTTATTTCCTCAAAATGGGGGTTAAACCCGGACCATAGTGAGTATGGGTTGTTTTCAAAATGCTAGGATGAGTGGCACCAAGGTTGGGATAGATCTCAACAATTAAACAGGCTTATTTTTTGCTTAAGTAAATTAGTAAAATTTAAAATGAATATTTTAGAAATTAATGTTAGAAAAAATTAGCCCTGTTTGGTGAGCATTCTTTACAAAAATAATGTTTTGAATAGTGATTTCTAGAAGAATGTGTGATTAAAATGTAGAGAAATATTTTAAATTTAAGTGCAAAATATTTTATTATATAAATTTGCGGTTAAAAATGAGTATATTGATTTATTATTATTATTATTTGGAAATAATGGTTGTCAAATTGGGGTTATTTAGTTTGATAGAATAAGATAAGAATCACTTTATAATTTAAAAGTAAAAAATAACTTATCAATTGTATTCGTAAATAAAGATTAACTAGAAGTAACTTTTCTACTTACATTTAAACTAAACCAAAAATATATTTTATGTACTCTGATATTAATATGACGGGTGATGTTACACATACATTAGAGTGTCCATAATGATGTTCACTCCACTCACATCTAGGGGACTCATTTCGAATAAAATATAGCTCTCATTTGGCCCCCATTTTGTGGAGATGAAAATGAGGAGAATAATATTTTTTTGAAAAATAAGTGATTGAAAAAGAAAAAAAATTCGATTTATGTGTAATATTATTTTATGAAAGATTGTGTAATTGAAAATAGGAGGCAGGAATATAAAATAAAAATAGGAGGCAGGAATATAAAATAAAATATAATGAAATGAAAATTAATGGAACCAAACGAGGGCATAATTTATCCGAGTGTGTCTCCCTCCATGGGAGAGATGTACATCATTATGAACACCACATTATATACAAGTAGCATATTCCTAATATGACTATCACTTGAATTCGACCGTTTCCTCAACAAATTTTCAATATTAGGAATAAGATCAGATTGGTTGGTACGATTGAAAAATCGAAAAATCGATAAGATTATGCTCATATTTGGTAGTTAATTAAAATAAGATTTTCAGTAAAATTTAATAAAAAGATGATAAAATATGTGATTGGAAAATCATGAATTTTATGAAATATGCAGTTAAAATTAATTATTGACTTGACTTAGATTAAGAGCATGCTTGGTACGGATTAAAATTAGATTTTAGTCTAAATAAAAGTCAAACAATTAATATTAACATCTTTCATAGATCCTAAAACTTTTCAGCCATACATTTCAAAAACTTTTATCACAATCTACTAAAAAATCTAATTTTAATCAATACCAAACACCCTCTAAAATTTAAACTTTAATTCTTTTCGAATCTGTTGGAACAAGTAAATAACCGATAGATTCACTTCGAATTTCATCGATTTCATTTTTCAAATATTCTTACGGTTGATTCGAACTGTACTTCGACTCTATAAATTTAGCAACTAATGGTCGAGCCGATTTTAAGAAAATTGAAATTTTCGTTTGAAAGAGGAAAGTGATATCCGAATCCGAACCCAGTGGACAATACGGATCCGGGTGTAGGGCTAAAGAATTCCCGTGATTGACTGTTGGCCGCTTTTTCCCCGACAATGATTTTTCTGTTCGACTTTTTTAACTTTACTGCACCCTAAACGACACCGTGTCCCTTTCTTCAATCATGGCCTATCCAAATTCCTTTTATTCCATCAATTCGAAATGTACGGTTCAAAAATTCTCAACTTGGAATATTGATCGAAGATGCAATTACGATATTTTGATTCTTTTCCTTTTCCTATAGACTGATTGATAGATCCACTTGCAATCCTCAAAGGTCTAGCGATAAAGGTTCTTTTCTTTTCTTTTTCTCTGACATTTCTCACCTTTTACTCTCCCTTTCTCTCTCTGTGTGTATTATTAGTAGAATAGTAGCCGACCCTGATTTTTCAGGAGATTTAAGCTTCCAATTTTTATGTATTTCTTTGTAACATACGAGTTAAGCACAATCTTGTATTTTGTAGATCTGTATTGTTTGTCACTTGAATTAGGGATTTTATTTGGTGAAGTTTATCCTAAAGACGGAAATTTTCTTTGATGAGATGGGTTTTGCTCAGTTTGCTGTTTTGTTGGTGTAATTGTGTGAAAAGGGCTACATTGCTTGTACTAAAGTTCAAACCTTGGTTCTTTTATTACAAAGGTGAAAAAACTTTGGGTTGAATTTTTTTTTTTTTTTTGTTTCTTTTTCCTAACCTCTGGGTGAAGAATAATATATTACAATTTAAAATACGTAGTTCATCAAAGGAGAGTCACGAATTTCAGATTTGCAGAATGGCAATCAACAAAACATAATCTCATAAATAAGATTTAGTTTTTCCAAGCCACATGGGCTGCCATTTGGAATGTTAGTTAGCATTTAAAGATTTGGTATTTATCTGGAAAGTGCATATGGAATTACTCTGTAGAGGTGGTTTATCAATTATAAGAACATACAATTTTCGGAGTATTAGTGATTGCATAGATTTTATGCCATTTGCTGGTTCTCACCAAGGTTACTTTTCTCCCTTCTCAGTATTTATTTATTTATTTATTTTTTTCAGCGACTGACGAGTCAAATATTGCATTTCTCCTGTAGTATTTTCTTTCTCTGCTGGTTAATAATGTTGGAAATGGTTAACTTCGTTTGCCATTTCCTCCTATCTGTTTGATAAGCTCTTGTTAGGAGAGAAAAATGATTGTCTGAGAAAAATGCCAATAATGAGAATTTGGGCTTTCCTGTGGTAGGTCTGGAGCTGATAGATCGATATGGGTGCATCAAAGAAATGGATCAAAGCGTTGATTGGTTTCAAGAAACCAGAGAAATCACAATGTTCGGAGAAGGATGAAAATGTAGGTTTTATTTTCTGGTTGCAGTTATATATCAGGGAAAATAATGTTATGGAAAGGCTAATCCAGAATGCACAAATATTGTATTTGCTTGCATTTACTGAATGTCTGTCTCTTTAAAGAAGCTTTTTGTCTATCTGTATATCCTGCCTTGACTTGTGTGTGCGAATTTCCTTTCCCTGCTTGCTTAATATATGCTGAAAGGATATTCTTGAATTTCTCGTGGAATTTTCCCAAATCTACCTTTTCATTTTGGGAGTCCTGGTGCAAGAAGGCTTCTCAAAGGGCTTGAAGCTGCTCAATATTGATGATATATTTGGTGGACATGTACTATATGTTTATTTGTGAGCTAAATGGGCAAGGAAAAGTGTAGCAGAAGTACCTTCCTAGTGTCATATATGAATATTTGGAAACTTGTTTGAAAACCTCTTGATTGTTGCACCACTCGTTACATGCCTATTTCAGTCTGGATGTTGTGAAGTTTTATCATTAAATAGGCAGGGATCATTGACTAAAATTATCTAATCATGCAGAGAACAGGGAGCATTGACAAGATTTGGCATCGAAGAAAGCATTCTGTTGAGATTGATGCCAACATACTTCAAGATGAGTTCAATCAAGATGCGGTTACATCAGTTGAAGATCCCAACTTTCAGCAAGTTTCAGATTCTACTAGCTCTCCTTCTGCTTCACGTCAGGTGCAAAATGCTGCTCAAGTTCAACAGGAAATGAGAGAAGAATGTGCTGCCATACGCATCCAAACAGCCTTTAGAGGATTTCTGGTACTGACTTGATTCATTTTCTGAAGTTTTATTGTTACTGAACTAAAAAAAGGCAGCCATATTTTCTGATACACTTGACTTGATATTTCATGATTTTCCATCTAGATTTTCTGTTAAAGAATTAACAAAATGCAGCCATATTTTCTGATACATAGCATACAGGCTTGACTTGATTTTTCATGATTTTCCACCTAGATTTTTGTTACCTTTTAATCTGAACAATTAGTTGACATTTCATGAACATACAGGAAGAAAAAAATCCAACATGATGTTTAAGTGCACTGTGATTTTTCTTGTAAGTATGCCAAAAGATTTGGCGCAAAAACACGAGTGGAGAATATGTGAATGCTCATACGTGTATAACATGGATATAAATCTGTTGCAGACCCTCAAGATTTTGTAGATAAGGAGACGTTGCTCATTTGTATTACATCATAAACTTCAATTTGTGCTGCTCTTATTCATCATTATAAAGAATTGTAACAAATTTAGTTACCCTTAACCATTAATTTCATTTCAGCATTAAAATTCGTTTACTATGACATGGTATAGAAAGTTTAATTTCATGAAATTGAAATTACAAAATTTTCTAGAGAACATATATTCTATATGATGCAGCATCAATAGGATGATTAATAGAAACAGAAGAAAGATTCAGAAAGAATGGGGAATTAAGGGAGGGGATAGAAGAAGAATTCAATAGAAGAAGGGGAAGGATGCGCCATAAGCCACCAAAATAATTATTCATTCATCATCAACTAAAAGTTACAATGCAAAATAGGTTTAAATAATAAAGCAACCCTAATGAGTTTGGGCCCGAGCCCATACAATTCCAAATTTAAATAATAGTCCAAGAAAATAAATAAAGTTTAAATAAAATAAGTAAACGTCGTCCGATGTCCTCATCAACTCTCCCGGGGTGGGAGAAAAACTCGACCCCGTCGAGTGGATAAATCAAAATGTTGCAATGAATCTGATGCTAAAGGCTCCAAGTCATGCCATAGGGGACGATCTTTCTGACGAACCAAATATCGAAATTCCACAAATGATGACGATGCCAATTGCAAATTACCTGCAAAAACATGAGCTGACCAAGATAACTTAGGTGAGTGAGAATTTTGCTGACTCTTATAAAGCTCCAATAAATTTGGCTCACGCCGCTGAAGTCTCTCTTTGGAAATCCATGTACCGTCAGAATCAAGTCGATCCATTCAACGAACAAGAAAGCACCGAATCTCTCTATTATTGGTCAACACAAGCTGTTCATCCAAAATAACATCAATTTTATTTTTGTGTGCTGTGATAGGTGGGATTGAAGCAGACATGGCAAAAGATTCTGCGTGGGAATTCTCATGTGGGAGTAGAAACGGGTCATCAGAGGGGCTAAAATAGTCGTTGTAAGCATCGAAGTCCGTAACAAATAAAATAGGGTGGTGGTCATAATGTGATAAAATGTCATTGAT